CTAACACTACAGAAATACAAACAATTGTAAGGAAATATTATGAAAAGTTATATTCCAACAAACTGGATAATCTAGAAGAAATGGATAAATTTCTAGAAACATATAACATACCAAAATTGAAGCAGAAAGAAATAGAATATCTGAACAGATCAATTACCAGCAATGAAATTGAATCAGTAATCGAAAAACTCCCAACAAAAAAAATCTAGGACCAGAGGGCTTCACAGGTGAATTTACCAAATATTTAAAGAAGAGTTAATACCTACTCTCCTCAAACTATCCCAAAGAATAGAAGAAAAAGGAAAACTTCCAAAATAGAACTCCCTATAATCCAGTAATCACAGTACTGGGTATTTACCCAAAAAATACAAAAATACTAATTCAAGGGGTTACATGCACCTCTATGTTTACTGCAGCATTACTTACAATAGCCAAATAATGGAAGCAGCCCAAGTGTCCATCAATAGATGAATGGATAAAGAAGACGTGATACATATATATGATACACACACACACAATGGAGTATCATTCAGCAATAAAAAAATAATAAAATCTTGCCATCTGTAACAATATGGATGGTGCTAGAGAGTACAATGTTAAGCAAAATAAGTCAGAGAAAGACAAATACCATATGATTTCACTCATATGTAGAATTTAAGAAACAAAAGAACAAAGTAAAAAAGAGATAAGCCAAAAAACAGACTCAACTATAGAGAACAAACTGATGGTTATCAGAGGGGAGATGGGTGGGGGGATGGGTGAAACAGGTGATGGGAATGAAGAAATGCACTTGTGATGAGCACTGGGTGTTGTAGATAATTGTTGAATCACTATATTATACACTTGAAACTGATATAATACTGTACATTATACTAGAATTAAAATTAAAAACTTAATTTAAAAAGTAAAAAAGGGGCACCTGGGTGGCTCAGTCGTTAAGCGTCTGCCTTAGGCTCAGGTCACGATCCCAGGGTCCTGGGATGGAGTCCCACATCGGGCTCCCTGCTCAGCGGGAAGCCTGCTTCCTCCTCTCCCACGCCCCCTGCTTGTGTTCCCTCTCTCGCTGTCAAATAAATAAATAAAATCTTAAAAAAAAAAAAAAGGAAAGACACATCATAAAGACAGCAGCCTTTTTTTTTAGGATTTTATTTAGTTATTTGAGAGAGAGCGAGCACAAGCAGGAGGAAGGATCAGAGGGAGAGGGAGAAGCAGACTCCTCACTAAGCAGGGAGCCTGATGCAAGGCTTGATCCCAGGACCCCGAGATCATGACCTGAGCCAAAGGCAGACACTTAACCAATTAAGCCACCCAGGTGCCCCAAAGATACCACCCTTCTTATAACAATAAAAGGATTGATCCCATAAGATACATTTCTAAATTTTTAAACATTCAGAAACACAGCTTTAAAATAAAACAAAAATGACAGAACTAAAAGGAGAAACAGACAAATGTACAGAGTGGGAGAATTTATTTTATTTTTTAAAAATTTTATTTATTTGACACAGAGAGAGAGACAGCTAGAGAGGGAACACAAGCAGGGGGGAGCGGGAGATTTGATCCCAGGACCCTGGGATCATGACCCAAGCCGAAGGCAGGCACTTAACGACTGAGCCATCCAGGCGCCCCTGGAGTGGGAGAATTTAATATATCTTTCTTGATAACTTATATAAGGAGACAAAAAATACAGTAAGCTGATTATCAAGTTGACTTGTAATTATCAAGTTGACTTAACTATCAAGTTTATTATTGAGTTTGACTTGATTATCAAGTTGACATGTTATTCATAGAACACTGTACCCCAAAATAACAGAATATACGTCCTTTCAAATATACATGGAACATTTTCCAAAATTGACCTGATACAGGGCCATGAAGCAAATATCAACAAATTTTATTTTATTTATTTTTTTAAAGAACTGAAACTATTCAGAGTATGTTCTTTGATCATCATGGAATTAAGCTAGAAATCAATTCAAAAAGAAATTAGAAAACTCCTGAAAACTTGGAAATTAAGGAATTCATTTATAAATAATTCAAGGGTCAAAGGAGAAAGCACAAAGGAAATTAGAAAATATTTTTAACTGAATGATAATGAACAACAGGCTTATAAAATCTCATAGGATGTAAGTATAATTGTATCGAAAAGATGATTTAGTCTTAAATGTCTATTAGAAAAGAAAAAAAAGTTCAGTTATTTAAGTAGCCATTGTAAGAAAAAGAACAGCAATTTAAACCCAAAGATGTACACAGAAGGAATTAAGGTAGAATTTAATGTCATAGGAAACAAACATACAATACAGAAAATGATCTGATCAAAGCAAAAAATTGATTCTTTAGGATGCTAAGAAAACTGATAAACCTAGGAGCAGTACTAATCATAAAAAAACACACACCTTATCAACATCAGGAGCCAAAAAAGGGACATTACAGATGCTATTGACATTGATAAAATATAGAACAACTTTAAGCGACTAAATTTGAGTATGTTCACAAAATGGACAAATTCCTGGAAAAGCGCAACTTACCAGAACTGATACAAGAAAAAATGGAAAACCTTAATAGCGAGGCACTATTCCTATCCAACTGCCTAACAGACATATAAGCTAGGTCCAAGAACCAGGGATTCTCCATGACTGTCCTGAATCCTATCTTCCCTCTTGTGGCCGTTGGCTGATACAGTGATAAACCAGAAGCAGAGTCTGATCCTATGGGTTACTGGTTTACAACACAGGTTGAACTCACAGTTTCAACAGATTTCTTAAATGAGAATTATTATATTGGGCGGGGAGTACAAACCTGAAAGATGGAATGGTGATACTTGAGAGAATTCCAATAACTCCAAGCACCCAAAGTTTCCCTTGTCAACAGAAGCAGCTCCTCCTCCCCTTAATCTAATGAGGATGGTTGACTTTCTTGAATAACCTCTAATGACTACACCAAAATAAAATTCCAATTCTCATTAGAGAGATACTTCTATACCTCTTACTGCCTCTGACCCCTGACTAAGCCCAACCCTCAAATTCTCTAATTCCAAAGCCAAACTCTGGAGAAGAAGGTTTAACAGAGTGACAAGAATTTCATAACTCTTGAGGAATGTATGTTAAAAAAAAAAAAAAACACCCAAAAAACAAACAAACAAAAACAACGCTGAGGATGCTAAGCCAGGGGAAGACAAACATAGTTTAGATCAAGCTGAATTTATTGATAAGGGTATATTTCATTGCAAATGATCAAAGGTGAAGCTCTAACCCAGGTTCCAGTACAATTCTGTGTCCCATTCTGCCTTGAAACCCAGCCAGGTCATATAACTAAACTAAGATATCACATTTCCTTGAGGATATGTTTCCTACAATATTTCTGATACCAATTACTTGATCAGCATTTCTATTTTCAGACAACAGAATCTCCTCGATCTAGTTTAGGCAAAAGGAATTTATTAAGCAGTATCGCAAACACTTAATATCACTGAAAAGGCCTGAAATGGATTGTAGGCTGAATTCTAGAAATGACTCCCAATCCCCTAACTGCAGAAGTGAAATTGCAAGGCACAGCTGCTGTTTTTATGATCAAGAAGCTACTTGCCACATCAGAAAACCTCCATCCATCACAGCCATTAGCTCCAAAATCACATCACCCTCGGTAAGATCCAAGCCTTCAGAAGAATAGATGCCTCAGGCCTTGCTGCTCTCCCCACATAACTCAATTCTGAATCAAAATCTCATACAAGTGCATCTGATCAGAGAACTTTGATTTTTTTTTTGAATCTTAGGTCTAAAGGAGTCTGGGAAGCAGGTTTTACCTTTCCAGACTCTGTAATACAGGGAAGTATAAAGGAAATTGACAATCTATAGTATCTTCTTTGTACAATTCAGGTTACTATATCATATAGATATAGATAATAGGTCAGACAACATGCTTTTTCACTTCATATGTTTTGGAGATAATTCCATGTTAACATATGGATTACCTCATTCTTATTGATAGCAGTATTGCATTGCTTTGTATGGATGTGCCATAATGTATTCAACACTGCCCTTTTGGGGGACACTTAGATTTCTTCCATCTACACTGTTAAAAACACTGATGTAGTCCTTTGTCCAAACCACACACCCGTAAGAAAGGACTAGGATGCTATACATACGTTTTTCTTTCTTTTTTTCCTTTTTATAAGCTTGAAATTGGATCTCTGGGTCACAAGCCATTGCTTTTCTTTACATATGTGCCTCTCTCCTTACCACCCTTAAAGTCTAACATGTTCCCTTCCCAAAGAGAGTATATACTGAAACACTATTTGCATTTTTGGAATTTCAGATGCAAAAGAGCCTGGCTCACTTTCTTTTTGCTGCAGCGTATCTGGGTCAGACATCTTGAAAAATTCCATAATATTGTCATCTCCCACACTTTTGAATAATTCATCTTTCATAGCTGAGTGCCAGTTCTCTAAACCAATGAAGCGCAACAGCCCACAAAGGTGTTCTCCGTTTATAAAAATGCATTTCACCACCCCAGGGCAAACATGCAACTATTACAGGTAGCAGTTTAATGTACCCTGAAAAGAGGTGTCACATCATCAGATTAACATGAAAGAGAACCCAACATGGGGCTTGACCTCACCACTCTGAGATCATGACCTGAGCCAAGATCAACAGTTGGACACTTAACTGACTGAGCCACAACAAAGCACCCTGAAATATATACATTTTAAGAAGTGCTACCAGGCAGCAAATCACTGATATGTAGAAAATCTTAATTTTTCTGAACTTTGTTTTCACCATCTATAAAATGAGATAAAACCTACTTTCATAATGCTCCAGAAGGACTAAATAAACATTAAACTAAAATATACTACTATTATTCCAGGCTGTATGTGCAAGTAAATGTGTTAAAAATGCCCTTACCACGTTAGCTAAGAAGGGCTGGAAGTTGTCTATTGACCAACTTTCCCAACATCACTACCTTTTTCCTTAAGTGATTTTCTCTTACTGTGGCTGTAAACTGACCTTGATGTTTGTCCCCAAACAAAGCCATCTCCAGCCTGTGCCTCAGCAAGGATGCAGTGGTACAGAAGGGCAGGGGACGTGCTGCCACAGAGCAGAGAACACAAAAACCAAGGCATACTCGTCAGGAGGTCCCTAATTCACGTCTCTAAGTATGTTTTGTCTAATGGAATAGCTTAGATCTTGTGATTTCCTTTAAAGATGTGTAATGGATATATGCCATGATGAGATCCCAAATTTAACTGGGCCACTACTGAAGAATCAGTAAAGCTTGGCTGGTGAGGCACAGGCTGCTCAGCTAGCCGGGTAACTGTGTGCCACTTACTTAACGCTCTGTACCTCAGCCTCTTCTTATGTAAAGTAGGGATAATCACAGGTCACAGGTCAACTATGCAGCTTAAATGTTATTTATAAAGCATTTAGAAGAACAATGCCTGCCACAAGTAAACAGTATCATTGTAATTAAAAATAACCAAAAAGCAGCTACTGATTTGGTAAACCAGATATTCTAAAATTTTTAGTCCTCTATCTGGAACGCATTGCCCCATCTTCACTTTATTACAACTTAGATCCAGGCTAGTCTTCCCCACTTTTCTTTACTAGTCTTCTCTTAGGACTTTTCCACTCTTGCTCCTGGATTTTAATATTTTATACCTGTAACACTCACCAAGGTCTTGCTTGCATTGGATATAGACGTCTGCATCTCTACCTTACGTGGTCTCCAACACAAGACTCCAGTGGACTGCTTCAGGATCATCTGGGCCCAGGAGACTTGTCAGTAGGCCTGGGGCTGACGTGAACACCTGACGCTTCTTAGCTCCTTAGGTGATCCAGCTGCACAGCCAGGTCTCTGCAAGATTTTGTTTCCAGAGGGCAGGGGCAGAGTCCCGGCCACTTTTTTTTTTAATGCCTTAAACTGGGACGGCACTTAGAACGTTTTTGAGAAGAAAGTTTTGTCCTTGTCTGAGGACTACACAGGCCTGGGGGCATTTCATGACTCTCAAGTGTGTATATGCAAGAAAAATGAAGGAACAAAAACCTAGTTGAGAAATGATTCTATCCCTTTCAGAAGCACAGATATCTGCCAGTGACAATACATACCCTTATGAATGGTTCCTCCCATTTTCGTTGCTCACGAGAATTTGTAAAGCTAAGGTTACAATTATAATCACTACTCTGGAAGCCGCTCCTCATTAAGCAATCATCATAAAGATGCCACCTTCAGTTGGACAGTGTTAAGCTTGCCAGGATTGTCACAACAAAGTACCACAGATTGGGTGACTTAACCAATAGAAATTAGTTTTCTCACAGTTCTGGAGACCAGAAGTCTGAGATCAAGGTATCAGCAGAGTTGTTTCCTCTGAGGCCTCTTTCCTTGTCTTACAGATGAGCAATCTTCACCCTGTGTCCAAATTTCCTCTTATTAGACCAGTCATACAGATGAAGGAACTCATTTTTAACTCAATCAACTTCTTTGAAGACGTCATCTCCAAATATGCTCACATTCTGAGGTACTAGGGGTTAGAATTTCCACATATATGAATTGGGGGGAACACAATTCAACCCCTAACAGACAATAATCACTTGTATACCTGAAGATAGGTCATTTTGCAGTGTTTGACCCTACGATGCAGCTCTGGTGATCAGATGCTGCAAGTTCACACACCTGATGACAGGCTGACAGCTTCTGGCTTATGTTCCTCAAGACAGTTGAAGGAGTGTTTACTAGGAAGTGTGTATATAGGCCAACGTGCTGAAAAGGCTGAAGGAGACTCTAACTCCTATTACCTCTTTGCCCTTTGATGTGCTGAGGACCTCAGCTCAGCACACACAAGGTTATGAACAACTCACCTTTTAAGGAAGGAAACACCAAGCATCATATACTAAACTACAAGAAAACTGCAAACTAGCTTCTAGGCTTGGCCCTGAAAACTCAAATAATGAGTCTTTTACTTGTATTAGTAAAACCTGGGGCTTCTTGGGTCACCTACAGACTTCTTAAGGCTAGAAATCTCTGCTGGGCTAATTTAAAACTGAAGACGATTAGCTAATACTGTTTACCGTATGTGGGGCACTGTGGTAGCCCTTTACATGTATTAACTAACATCAAACAGTATTATAAATGCGAACTCTTATTATTCTCTTTTTATAGTTAACAGAGGTATAAAGAGTACACAAAACTTGGCTAAGGATACAAACCATCATGCAATGAAGCCCAGATTGCAGACATTCAGCAGGGCTCCACAACTCATGTCCTGCCTCTCAGTGTGACTCTTTACCCAACAGACTGATCCCACAGCAGCAGTAGATGAGGCCACCTGCAATAGGTACAGACGGCTGAGTAAACTCTTGGCAAAAAGGCAGTTACCAGCTGATTCATTTCCTGGGAATGACTTAAAATGTGCCATTTAAGTCTAAGAAGTCAAACATGGAAGAGACAGTTGTAAATAAGCAACAGGTACATTCTCAAACTGTTTCCTAGGCTTCCTGTTTTCCTACCAGGCTAACAATCGTGGATGGCATCTCAACTGGAGCTGGGAAATGAAGGCATTTAACCCAGCATGAGCTAGTGAGATGGACAGAGAGAGGGAGCTGGTAGTTCAGCACCACCAGTTTCCTGGAACAGAGGTGGCCTGCCACCAGGATGCCTTTGGCAAAAGGCTGTTTGGAGCTGCCCCAGTCCCACCAGCGCCGTCTAACAGAGGCTTCATGACCCAGTATCAGCAGCCAGCTCTAACCACCACCACCTCACCCAATCCCTCAACTGTACACCTACTGAAGTTCTCCAAGGCAGCAGAGTAAAGGCACTCCCTTAGGGAGGACGAGGGCTGGAGATGAGAATGGGAAACACAGGAAGCATAGTTCATTTAACCACTGCTATGCAGAAATACAATATTATCCCAAAGTTATGCTACTTAAAAAATACTTTCTCCACTTCTAACCATAGAAAACAAAACCAAGCTATACCTAATCTTTCCCTAAATGACTCATTCTTCTTCCACAAAATGAGATTACGAGGTGAAGCCTGTATTTTAAAAAAGGTTTTTATTTTAATCCTTCCTAGAGGAATACAGATTTGAATGAAATACATTCATTCCATAAATACATTAGCAGCAAAACCCTCCCACCAGAGTCTGCTCTACTCCAGCCCAGAGGCTGCACCTTAGAGCAGGAGCATGTTCCATCAACCTTCATCTCCAGGATGTGTCTGCTTCTTGCTGAAAGCAGGATATACATGTGAGATCAGGTGAAAGACCAGATGGATGGATGAATGAACTAAGCTGGGACCCTGAAAACACAACCACGTGGTGACCATCAAGCCTTCTATACCTTTGAAATCCGCGACACCCACCATGCTGAACTGATGAGATCCTTCACCAGAGACAACTGAGAAGGTCTAACCTTGCAAATGCACCAATGTGTTTGAAATCATTTGTCATTCCGAGTTGGCACCATTTTAATGGTGTCTTGTTCTTTTTCGCAGGATAAGCCAGATATAAAGGATCATTCCCTCCTTCCTGCCACGGTCCGAGGTACCACTCTGCCAGCTGAGTCCTCATGTGTTTGCTGTCAGGAGATAATCCAGCGGGCATTATTTGACTCACTACACCTCCAGCTCCCCTTTGTCTAGAGGCTAGAGGCTTTACTGGAGACAGAGACATGTCTAAACCTACACAGATCTCTAAGGAACTGTTAGTAACAGGTGTCTCAACCTGGCTTCCATCAAAGCTAGTTTTTTTGGACAGTGGCCCAGATGTCTCTCCTTTTCTTTTCTCCAACATTGCCTGTTGCCTGGCTGGTCCTTTTTTATCTGCCCTCTAGGCTTCTGCTGAAATTTTGGGAAGCAAGATCTACCCTAAACTCCCAAGTAGCCAAGAGAGATTAAGGCAGGTGGTGCTTTAAACCTGTCAGCTGAAGTCAAAGCAACAAGCTTACACTGCTGTGTTCCAATCCATTCTGGGATGACTTAAGTCACAACAGTCTACATAAAACACAACACCAGAACCACAATCAGCAATCGGGATGACTGTGAGGCAGAGACCAAGTTTAGCATGCTACCACATCATAGGGCCAGGAGGAAAATGGAACAATGGAAGAATTTAAAATAAATCTGATTTGTCTGGGTGGAAGACAGCTTTGACTCAGGTATAAATGCATCACCTAGTTTATCATGTAAATAAGGAGCGGGCTTCAAAAGCTGACACTTTCCTCCCCATACACCACTTAAAAATAGTTTACCTGCTCTCTTTTCCCAATCTGTTCTAAAGTGTTCTCATTAGGATACTCTTCTATAAGTGCTTTATCCATTCCCATTCAGTCTTTGACTGTTGGCTGGAAGAAAATGAGAAACCATTTTATATAAAAACCACTGTAGTGGATAACTGGTTGTATATGTTTTTCCCTTTTGCGTTTTCCATCCAAAATAGTTGGCTTTTATTTATGTGCCGAAAGAGACTCATCTGCTGAATACACAGCACTGTTAATCCGACAGTCTTCTGTCCCCACAGAGTCTGCTAGTTCTTCCTCCTCTGAGTCGTCATCTTCTTCCTCCTCTTGTGCTGATGAGCTGGAGGTGGGACCTTTGCAGGTTTTCAGGTGGCGGGTGAGATGGTATTTGGTAAGATAAGCCTTTGTACATTTTTCACAGACATAATCCCGTTTTCCTTCGTGAGAATTGAGATGTTTCTTCAAGTGATTTGTTCTCAAGAACAGCTTATCACACTTGGGACACTTGATCTGGCGTTCTCTGAGAGGAACACAAGAAAAAACATTTGATTTGGGGTTACAAATGACAACTGAGGCACACACTTATTCTTCACAACCTCAGGTCTTTGTCAGAGGAGCTCTACCCATCTAGAATCAGACTTTTTTTTTTTTAAAGTAGGCTCCATGCCCAGCATGGAGCCCAACGCCAGGGCTTGAACTCACGACCCTTGAGATCAAGACCTGAGCTGAAATCAAGAGTTGCATGCTCTACCAACTGAGCCAGCCAGGTGCCCCTCCAATGTGGTAGTATTAATATACATGCCCATCAACAGCCACTTGGGAGTTCCTGTTGCCCCACATTCTCAACAACTGGAAGATTCAAATTTGAACATTCGTGCCACCTGGCCAATACATAATGAGATCTCACTATGGTATTAATGGTATCCCATATAACAAAAAATTACCCAGTTCAAAATGTCATGTGTCAAGGTTTGAGTAACCCTGGCTTAGACATTTTAGAGCTGGAAAAAAACCTAAAAAATCATGTAGACCAGGAATTTTTTAACTCTTTTTTTGAGCAGCTGAACCCTACATCTTAAAGGCTCAATATGCAAAACAAATAAAAGGAGATTAAAATCCTTGAAGAAGTGGTAGGATACAGTGAGAAGTTCTGAAGTCTGGCCTCCTTAGCATTTCTACCACCTTCTCCCAGCAGAAGAGGGCACTGAGGGAACCTGTGGAGCTACAGGATGTGGAAAACTAAGCCCCTGCCTTCATGGAGCTTATGTTCTAACAGAGGAGTTACATCATAAACAAAAAATATGTAACATCATATCAAATAGTAAAAAGTACTATAAAAAAAAAATGAAGCCAGGTAAGAGTGATAGAGTTCTATTTTAGATAAGATAGTCAAGGAAGGCCATTCTGAGATGACAACATTTTTGAGCAAAAACCTGAACGCAGTGAGGGAGGAAGACAGGAAGATGTCTAGGGTGGAGGATGTCTAGGCACAGGCAGTTCAGGGCAAAGGTCCTGAGACGGGAGTGTGTTTAGTATGCTGGAGTCTCATGGGG